GGCGCTACCAGATAATAAACAAATGACACGGAAACTTCCCCTAAATGTATGCTCAAAGTGACAGCAATGCTGCGGTGACTAGGCATACCGTGACGTCCTTATAGAATATGTCCATGCCGTAGCGCACTTCTTAGAAGAGGTAGTACGTGAAGTAGTGTTTTCACGAAAATATCTATTTCTCGGTAATTCTAAAATAGAAAATTCTAAATTTTTGTGGATGTGTTAAGAAATAGTTTTTTCCAAAATTAAATGGTAAAATTGATATATTATCGCTAAAATATAAACCATATTTAAGTTTAAGATAATAAGAAATTTTAAAAGTTGACATTTTCTTTAATAACTCCTTGAATCGTACTCCGATTTTAATGCAACAAGCTCAGGAATCATCATCATCATTACAGCCCTTCACAAGTCCACTGCTGAACATAGGCCTCCCCCAAGGAATGCCACAAATCACGGTACTGAGCCACCTGCATCCATCGACTTCCTGCACATCTCACCAGGTCGTCACTCCATCTAGTGGGGGGACGCCCAACACTTCGCCTGCCGGTAGGAGGCTGCCACTCGAGAACCTTTTTTCCCCATCGGTTGTCGGTTCTTCGAGCGATATGGCCGGCCCATTGCCACTTCAGCTTACTAATCTGTTGGGCTATGTCGGTCACTCTGGTTCTACTGCGGATATCCTCATTTCTGAGTTTATCACGCAGAGAAACTCCGAGCATAGCCCTCTCCATAGCTCGCTGAGCGACCTTGAGCTTCCTCATCCGGCCAGCAGTGAAGGACCACGTCTCAGTTCCGTATGTCATCACTGGCAACACGCACTGGTTGTACAGTCTCGTTTTCAAGTTTTGAGGTATACCTGACGAGAAGATGTGCCGTCATTTCCCGAATGCTGTCCAACCGAGTTGAATCCGTCGACTGACCTCTCGGTCGAAGTTGGACTTACCTAGTCGGACTATTTGTCCCAGGTAAACATACTCGTCAACAACTTCGAGCTTAGTGCTCCCAACAACTACCGGCATAGGTGTGACATGGACATTAAACTTGGACATTATCCCGGGGCCGCACTGCACCGGGATCCTGCAAACCTCTGTCCTGCCTGAAGCCGCCGGGACCCTGCTAGCCCCTATCCTGCCTGAAGTCTCCAGGACCCTGCAAGCCTCTGCCCTGCCTGAAGTCGCCGGATCCTGCTAGCTTCTGTCCTGCCTGAAGTCTCTAGGACCCTGCAAGCCTCTGCCCTGCCTGAAGTCGCCGGATCCTGCTAGCCTCCCTCCTGCCTGAAGTCGCCCGATCCTGCTAGCCTCTGTCCTGCCTGAAGTCGCCGGACCCTGCAAGCCTCTGTCCTACCTGGATTCGCCGGATCCTACAAGCCTCTGTCCTGCCTGAAGTCGCCGGAACCTGCAGGCCTCTGTCCTGCCTGAAGTCGCTGGGATCCTGCAAGCCTCTGTCTTGCCTGAAGACGCCGGATCTTGCAAACCTCTGCATTCACCTGAAGTCGTCGCCTAGACACACCCACGCCTTCACCTACACTGTGCGTGCTCGTTCCAGGCGCTGTGGGCTACCACCAGCACAGCCTGCGTATAATCTGTGGGCAGCGAAGAACATCACCAAAAGCGGTGTACCTCTTGGATCTTCGGCTTCAGCTTCAATACCCATCATTTTTATTATCTTTTTTTTTAGAAATAATTGTAAATCACATCACCCATCTTCATCCTCATACATCAGTTTTTTTTTATATAAATCTGTAAATATCTTTTTTTTATATTTTAAATAGATTATTTGTTTTGCCCTATTTTTGTTGTTTTGTTGCTAGGTTAGGTTCTTTTTTTTTGTTTTTAATTGTCGCTTCACGATAACATGATCTTTGTTTTGTCCATGTTCATCTTAAGACCTATCCGTTGGAAAGCGCTATTGAGGTCATTGAGCATAGTGCTTAAAGGTCCTCCAGCGATTCTGCCATAATGACTATATCGTCGGCAAATCGAAGGTGAGTGATGTACTCGCCATTGATGTTGATACCGTATCCTTTCCAGTCCAGAAGCTTGAAAACGTCTTCCAATGCAGCGGTGAAGAGTTTCGGGGATATGACGTTGATTATGAGCTCAGGAATGTTAGGTTAAAATTGGTAAAACAGAAACATTTCTAAAACAGCCGCACGAATCACTGAAGTTCCGAAATCATTAAAATCAAGCTATCGCTTCCAAAACAGTTGTAACTTTGCAAACAATAAACTAGTTGCGTATATTTAAAATTTGTTTTAAAATTATACGTAAAATTGTATTATGGTTGTAGCACGAATGCGTAAATAAGCAGCTTAATGCGACTGTTATTTATATGGTGAGTGTAGAGAACCGGAGACCTTATTTACTGGAAAAGAGGCATTTTATCTTAGTCCTCAGGGATGACAACGCATCTGCATTTTGATTCTTAATTGAGAATAAATGTAGATGTCTATCGGTCCAGCATCCATCAAGTGGACTATGTGTGCTCACTTATCACCCTTATTTAATTTAAAAGGTAGATTGGACCTAGTGCTAGCAGTTACTGAACATGAAAGGCGGCTAAGCCAAGCCCTTCCTGTAGCAGGAGAGATTCAGCCCAGCTGTGGACTTTTAGGGGCCAATTAAGAGGAAACCATGAATGGACAACTACACGTTACTCGGCCTGTTATAATACGCAACCACTCAAGTTTGATTTTCATGGACGTAGATAAGAAGAAGACGTGCCCCACGGCCCTCCGTAAAAGACTTGGTGTCTCGATCTCCACACGAGAAAAAATAACAACGCTGTGTTAAGTTGTAGATAATTTCAAGGTTAGACTCGCAGCTCCAGTGGCGCAATTGGTTAGCGCACGGTACTTATAAGACAGTGTCCGAGCAATGCCGGGGTTGTGAGTTCGAGCCTCACCTGGAGCACGAATTTTTTGAAGTTTTCTATTCATAAATTAGAAACTACAAAATATGCGAATTCAAACTAAGAGACGACTTTCCTAAGTTGAATATTGTGACTAATTCACGAATAAAGTGCAATTTCTGTTTAGAATATGCGACACTTGCCGGCGAAGAACTTCAAAGGTGACCTGTTGAGTTGATTATCATATTTTGTAGCCTACAGGGCCGGATTTTAATTCTGCTATACAATATGTCTTAGAAGCTGAGCATTAGATTGATAAATGTATAAATTTTTAGTTTGTTGAAATCACAGCTTTTAATTTTTATTAAAAGTGATTTGTTTCTGGTCAGCGATAATTATGCAAAATATTTTTAAATGTTAATTACCTATATAATTTATTCATGAATCAGTTCTTCTTTATTCAATTGACTCAGGCGTTACTTTGCGTAAATATATTAAAGACTAACTGTTCCCCGCGACTTCACTCGCGTGTTAGAGTTTTTATGTTTTTGCGCGAAACCCTAATTCCTTTTCTAAAATAAAAGTAGCCTAAGTTACTCCTTATGAAATCAGCTATGTGCCAGTGAAGGTCCCGTCAAAATCGGTCCAGTTATTTCGGAGATTAGCCGGTACAGACAGACAGACAGACAAAATTTTTAAAAATTGTGTTTTTGTTATAAGTACCGTATTTGCTTTCATACGCATTTAATAAAAAAAACTGTAATTTTGACATTACAAACAGACACTTTTTTTTTATTATTTGTATAGATGTTAAAACTATTTTTTATTTTATAGAATAAGGGTGACAAACGAGCACATAGTCCACCTGATGGTAAGTGGTTGCTGTGGCCCGTTGGCATCTACATCTGTCCTTGATTTAGGAATCAAAATGCAGATGCGTTGTCACCCCTGAGGATTAAGATAGAATGTCTCATTTCCAGTAAAAAGGGTCTCCGGCTCTTTATACTCACCATACAAAACTCAGCAGCATTAAGCTGCTATTTTACGCTGATATTCTGTGAGAGCGTGGTCGAGCCGACCCTTTCCTTCGTTTCGTGCTATAACTATACTACTAATATAGCCGTAGCGTGGCTCTACCAATTGCAAAAACTAAAAGTAACTAATTAATATTCGCGTAAAAAATAAAAATTATGTCTTACCTCCTTGGGCACCTCCCGCCCTCCCTTAATTGTGTGCACTATCTCCGTTACCACTAATCGCAACAGCTCTACACTAAAAAAAACACCACCGTACACGTGTTTCGCCCCTAAATGAGGCATGATCAGGAAAAATAAATTCGTCGAAGGCCGACCGCAAAGTGAACAGCGAGCTAAAAACACAATGTTATTCCCACCCTACAAATTTCCTTCGTATTGTGGAGACGTCTCACATAAATGGCATAAGCATGAAAATCTAGATCCGGGTCAATTGAAACTTGTTTCGTGCGGGATTCTGCAGTCTACAGCGCTGCATGCAAGCGCTTAACCATTGCGCTATTAGACGCAGCGCTAGATTTAACTTTATGGTGCTCTAGGTTTTATAGCAAAGGGTGCCCTAGATATTTATTTCATGTTTTTTTTATTTGAAGTAAAATTTTGCAATAAATCAAATCGCATCTAGTGCATTTGTAATAGAGAGAGATTGATCTCTATTTTGATTGACTAGTAACATGCATTGTTTTCTATAATAAACCCTATAGTTTTTTATCACACCTCCCTGTGGTATGCCCTAGGCCAGTGCCACAGTGTAACTACTACTAACAGTCTGCCATCAAAGGCGTCTAGACGGGGCTATCGTGCGTGCGGTGCGGGCTGAGCTGTCCGCTAGGGTTGTCCTGTCACGCGAATAAATTAAAATACAAAAACACTACATGTGCGGTAAAAAACTGTGGAGTGGAGAAAGTTTTTTACCCTCATTTAAAGATAAGGAATTAGTTTCATCAGTTTCCACATACATGTTAATTTGTTATAACGTGAAATAAAATAAAATCAGTTTTTTATTTTTCTTGTTACTTCTCGTTGTGACAACCCTAGCAATTTATTGTTTATGTCGGCTTTTCCGACAACATCAAACGCGATTACTATTTTTTAGAAATAAAACCAAACATATATATACAACATTTAATTTACAATAAAGTGAAAGTAAATATAATTTAGATTCAAAATGTTGCCATAAAGCTTCCGGATTTCAGTAGACAGCGTCGATAACAACAAAAAATGAGTCCACGTCACCTGGAAATAATAAAGTTACTTTAAATTTCATCGTCATCATTATAACTCGTCACAAATCCAGCGCCGAACATGGGTCTCCTTCAAGCAATACCACAAAAACACGATCCTGAGCCACCTGCACCCATCGAATTCCTGCATGTCTTACAGCTCGTCACTCCATCTAGTGAGGGACCGCCCAACATTTTGATTACTGGTTCGAGGCTGCCACTCGAGAACCTTTCTTCACCATCAGCAGCCGATTCTTCTTTCTACATGGTCGGCCATTGCCACTTCATTAGTAAAAACTAATCTGTTGCGTTGCGATATATTCATCGATTAAATATCTTACCAGCTTGTCCCTCCATCTAGTGGGGGGCAGCCTAATACTTGGGCATTACCGTCTAGTTCTACGAGCGTTAATCCACCTGCCAAGCATGATGATTATTGTGAGTGTAGAGAACCGGAGACCCTTTTTACTGGTAACGAGGCATTCCATATTAGTCCTCACGGGTGACAACGCATCTGCATTTTTTTATGTTACGGAAAACCGACAGCTAACAAGTCTTAAGTAAATAACATGTTTAACTACAAGAAGCCAATAACTGGCTCTCACTAATAGAAATACAATAACATAATTTTCCGTCGCTTAAAGGACATAGAACAAATACGAGCACCAAAAATGGAGCCTAATTAAAATGTACAACATGCATAAAATTGAATAAAACTATTGTTTACGGATTTTATCCGGGGACAGTCCCCCCTCCCCCCTCCGTGACCATGGGTTGCTGTAAAGCACCCGAAACGTCGGGAATTAAAATAGTAAATAAAAACGCGATAAAATCCGTAAAAAATAGTTTTATTCAATGTGTAGTGTTCGCGTAAATATAAGAAATCATTATGCATAAAATTAATAAGTAAAACAGACAACAATAGCCAAAAAGAAAAGAAATGAAAAGCAACAGTGCCCGGGGCCCCAAGATTCATGGGGCCCCTCAGTTCTTACTCCTATTATATTGCTTTTTTTTTATTTATTTATTTTTTATAGGAGGGGGCAAACGAGCATGCGGCTCACCTGATGGTAAGTGACTACCGCCGCCCATGAACAACTGCAACACCAGGGAGGGAATTGCAGATGCGTTGCCGGCCTTTTAAAAAGGAGTACGCTCTTTTCTTGCTAATAGGCCTATGACAGACCTAGGGGCCTAAAGTGCCCAGGGCCCCCAATAAATCTAAGATTGCTCTGAAAAGCAGGAATATACGCACTATCTAATATTTTTAAATTAATTACGACACCCAGCCCGGCTTGCCGTATTAAACAAATCAAAATTGCGCTTTTTGCATATTAAAGTTATTACTAGACCATGTGAATATATGGCTTCCATAATTAAACTGATTTTAATTGTTAATCGAGGGTAGATGTTGATGTTTACAGACCACAGCATCCACTCACCATGAAAAAAGTGTACATTTACAAACTATATGTCCTTGGAGAAAAGTTAATTTGATGAAGACGATGATGATATTGATAATGATGATGATGGTGATCCATCTTACAATGCTAGTGCTGCGCACAAACAACCCCTCGACACTCGGCGCCATATTCCGCACAAGGACGATCCGAAGGTTTCAATGGTTCACTCTTGGGACAATACTGGATCACTCTGCAAGAAATTAATGGAGTTGAGAGAGTTTTGCTGTAACTTAGTTTTTATAATTTTTTTTATAGGATAAGGTGACAAACGAGCACACAGTCCACCTGATGATAAGTGGTTGCTGTGGCCCATAGACTTCTACATTTATCCTCGTTTGTGAATCAAAATGCAGATGCGTTGTCACCCGTGAGGACTAAGATGGAATGCCTCTTTTCCAGTAAAAAGGGTCTTTGGTTTTCTACACTCACCATACGAAACACAGCAGTGCCAAGCTGCTATTTTACGCTGGTATTCTCTGAGAGTGTGGTCCTTCCCCAGTCGAACCTACCCATTCGTGCTACAACTATACTACTAATATAGCTGCATGGCTCTACCAATTCTTTATCAAACCTTACTAATCCACAACTGAACTTGGGCCGATCCCGTAACGCTACGATATCCAATAACGCGATCCGATAACGCTGCTGCTGCCCATCTCCGGATTTGTTTCCCTCTGTCGCCTCTTACGACATCCACGCGACGATATGTTAGTATTGTTTTAGTTACGTCTTTTATCGAACCAACAGGAGAATTCCCCTTTAGATGAGAGACCCACACTCACCCATAATCGCCCTTCTCCATCCATTTCTCGTCGAGTTTGTTCAGTTGCTCGAACTTGCCTTTCGGTAGACCGCAGATTAAATCGGCTTTCACTGTGCGAAGGGCTATTAGCGGCGCCGGCATAAACCCTAAAAATACAAAATATATTTATTTTTTATAGGATAGGGTGACAAATGAGCACACAGTCCACCTGATGGTAAGTGGTTGCTGTGGCCCATAGACATCTACATTTATCCTCGTTTGCGAATCAAAATGAAGATTGGTTATCACCCGTGAGGACTAAGATGGAATGCCTCTTTTCCAGGAAAAAGGGTCTCCGATTCTCTACACTCACCATATGAAACACAGCAGCGTTAAGCTGCTATTTGACGCTGGTATTCTGTGAGAGCGTGGTCCTTCCCCGGTCGAGCTGACCCATTCGTGCTACAACTATCTACTAATATAGCTGCAGCATGGCTCTACCACGTATATGTTTAAAATCCCTCGTCACGAAAAGAACTGTATGTATTAACAGATGTCCCATTGCTATAGTCATTGGTCACCTCGCGTACCGTATAGGGATTTTATTAGAAATAGGGGAGACAAACTTGTATACAATTCACCAAATGGTAAGTGGATGCTGCGGCCCATCGACATAAAATGTAGATGCGTTTTCACCCATAAGGACTAAGATGAAATGCCTAGTTTCGAGTAAAAAGGGTTTCCGCTTCTCTACATTCACCATACGATACACAGCAGCATTGAGCTGCTAATTTACGCTGGTATTCTGTATAAGCATTTGCATTCCCACCTTGATGTTTTATATTTTGTTTTATACAAGACATTATATCATCCAGTAGATGTCATTAAAGATGACAGGGAAATTGAAACAGTAGATCGGCAACAGCTTCTTTCTGTGAAGAGTTGAAAATAAAAAAAAATGCAATTGCCAACCAAGCCCGCCAAAAGTGGCAACTATGGCAAATATCCTCTCTATGAGGCAATCTATGGGGAGACCGATGTTTAGCAGGAGACATTTTAGACTGTATATGCATTTGAATACTTTTCATAGGCTGTAATTATTATTATTAATCATTTATTTTCAGACACAGGTCCATATATGTTAGTATTGGTTCAATTTTTCTTACATGCTAGGTTAGTAAAAACTGAACGAAATATATGCAAAACTTAATACAGAGTCTAAACTTCTGTCTTGTCGGCTTATGGAACTCATAAAACATGTAGTTCAATAAACCTTGCAAGCAGGTCGAAATATTTTAACTATCGTAATTTTGCCAGATTATTTAGATTGCCTCGGTTTGGGGCGATATACGTGTCGCGTTATAATAATAATATAATAATAATAATTTTATATCAGATACAAGCTCCATACTTTGTTAGTAATAAATAACATAAATTTAAAATTAATGTTAGTAAATATACAACTAAAAAAACAACAATACTTATTATTAGTTAGTTATCATTTCAGTTAATTAAATAATTAGAAGGAATTCCATCTTAGTCCTTAGGGGTGACAACGAATCTGTATTTTGATTTTTAATCGAGGATATGTATCTATGGTCCATAAAGTTGCCAGCTCCCGTTTTATGTTTTAAAGGATTTGATAAGATTAAATAAATGCCTAATAGGACAAAAATAGAGGATATCATATTTTGATAAAATGCAGTTATGGTATTAGTAGCAACATTTATTAATAGAAAAAGCAATGTTAATACGCAACTCAACTTTGACCTCAACTAGCAAAGGAAATGTCGAATTAGCGCGATATTGCCTTGTACTCTATAAAAGATTTCAAATTAGGGAACAAGATCAACTATTGGGTGTAAAAGACGGGTTAACATATGTCCTTTAAAATAAAGGACGTCTGGTAACCCTAATGGGTCATGATATTTACTTAACATTAGATGGACTGTGTGCTCGTTTGTCATTCATTCATTATTTCATTACAACCAACCAAAAGTTCACTGTTAAATATAAGCCTCCCAAACTGATTGCCTCATAGAAAGGATATTTACCATAGTCGCCACGCAAGGCAGGCGGGTTGGCAACCACAGTTTTTTCACTATTTTGAATTTTTATCAGAAAGATTTCGCTACAAGGGGTAGTGGATTGTCTTACGCCGCCATTATACAGCTTGTTTGTCACCCTGATTTATGAAAATAGCCCTCACCTTGCAAAGCGGCTTCGAACCCGAGCGTCGGGTTGCAGTTCCTCTCGCCGAGCAACTTGCGGTAATTGAGATCGCCCTTAAACAAAATGGCGACGGCGAACTGAAGCTTTCTATACAAATTGAAGTCGTATTTCTTCATATCCTTGTACACGTGCGGAGACGTCCAGAAATCATCGCACTGTAAACAACATTTTAAAGGAATTATTCGCCTCAAAATACGGCAATTTGTAGCGTGCTTATAACAAATCAATTCACAACTTTTGCGCATTTTTAAAAAAAAAATACAAAAAAAAATGAGTGTTTTGCATTATTTATAGCCTTGGCAGCGCAGGGGCTGAACGCTCGCCGTAAACGCTTTATGCGTAGGTAGAGCCATGCTGCAGCTATATTATAGTTAGTACTGGGCCGGCTCGACCAGGGAAGAACCACGCTCTCACAGAATACCAGCGTAAAATAGCAGCTTAATGCTGCTGTTTTGTATGATGTGTGTAGAGAATCTCATGAGATCATTCTATACGGTAGAATGATCTCATGAGATCATCAGAAGATGATCAGAAAAAAGTTCACTGTTGAACGTAGACCACGTTCAACAGTGAACTTTTTTCTTTTTTTTATAGAATAAGAGTAACAAACGAGCACACAGTCCACCTGATGGTAAGTGGTTCCTGTGACCCATAGACATCTACATTTATCCTCAATAAAGAATCAAAATGCAGATGCGTCGTTACCCGTGAGGACTAAGATGGAATGCCTCTTTCCCAGTAAAATGGGTCTCCGGTTCTCTACACTCACCATACGAAACACAGCAGTGTCAAGCTGCCGTTTTACGCTGGTATTCTGTGAGAGCGTGGTCCTTCCCCAGTCGAGCTGACCCATTCGTGCTACAACTATACTACTAATATAGCTGCAGCATGGTACCACGTACAATTTGATTTGATAGATAGGTTGAAATGATGACGAATTAAGATGATAATGAAGTATGGTAAAATGCCGTTTCCAATTCATACCATAACGATAAATGTGCCATCTTCCAGGAACTTCGCCCAGGCTTCCCCAAGTTGTCTCAAATTGTCCGCGTTCAATACGCGTGGGGTGTTATCGGGTGCTTCGCCCTCGGGAGCCTCTGCAAATTTGTATTTCAATCACTAAAGGACACAAATAACTGGACTGACGATCGCTATACAATGTGTATCTAATCATTTAGTACGCTATCTACTGCCAAGTTAGACAAAACATTTTAATAACATTTAGGACTAGTGGCCGCTACAGCACACGGACACCTGCAACCAACTTCAAAGAAAGAATATATTTTTTTTTCTCTTTATTTTGGCATAAACAGTCATTAAAAAATAAAAATTACATAATCTTAACATTAACTAAAAAAAAGAAACTTTTTATACGTGGTAGAGCCATGCTGTAGCTATATTATGATTGTAGTACGAATAGTTCGGCTCGACCGGGGAAGGACCACGCTCTCACAGAATACCAGCGTAAAATAGCAGCTTAACGCTGCTGTTTCCTATGGTGGGTGTAGAGAACCAGAGACCCTTTTTATTGGAAACGAGGCATTCCATCTTAGTCCTCACGGGTGACAATACATCTGCATTTTGATTCGTAATCGAAGATAGAGGTAAATGTCTATGGGCCACAGCAACCACTTACCATCAGGTGGACTGTGTCCTCGTTTGTCACCCTTACCCTATAAAAAAGAAAGAGTGGCCGAACATTTTATATTTTTATTACATTATTAGACTTAAATATAAAACTATTACTTGTTATTATTTCCCGTACCATGGTTACTTATGTAAACATATTATTAAGATATTAACACCCTCTCTCGTCTCGTGCATGTCGTAAGACCAGAAGCGGTATGACCCTCTCGCACCCATACTGGAAATTCCTAGATAGTGATGGGAAGCAGCATCAAGGGCGCGAAATGTCCGAAATCACGATCGCAAATTACCTGCCGAGTGTGTGTCGATCACGGTGAATCTTCTCTACCATGGAAGAGGCACATGTCCAGTTGTGGACCGTTTAGGGGGATGGTGAGAAGAGGGGTCTTAAATTTGTTGTATATACATACATATATGTGTGTACACATATACCAATGTATATATACTAAACTATTATTAGCAACTACTAATAGGTACATACAATGTGTATTGATAAATACGATATAGACGCCGTTATCGCCCCTGAGGACTAAGTTAGAATGTCTCACAGTAATTATCTTGACTTCTTGAAACACAGCTGTGGGTGCACTGCTAATTAAATACAAAAGTAGAAAAAAAATATCTAGATGGCTTCTGAGCAGAAAGTAATTCTAACAAAAAAAATTGGAACTTTATCACGCATATGGATGACTTGTAATCGGCAACCCCGTTCGTCTTCTAATACGTTGAGGTAAAGAATAAATTTATTGATATTTTGTTGATAATAGAACCTACCTGGTTTTATTTCTGGCGCCATTTCCTTTTTGTAATCTGCTGTTCTGCAAGATTCTACGACGTATCTGAAAAAAAAAATACGAGAAGCTTCTTAGAATACTTGTAAAATTTATGAACGAGAAATAAGTTTGTGGTGGCGTCGTCATCGCGCCACAAGCGAAACGCACCGAAGCCTTAATCTCGCTATCAAAGTTCCGAAGTACTGCGGTATACATAGAATGGCAATATTCTATGTATACCGCATCTAATTAACAGTGGTAGAGCCACACGACAGCTTATGCTGTCGCACGGATGGGCTGGCTCGAACCGGGGTGGTACCACGACCTCACAGAATACCAGCGTGAAGTAGAGGTTTACCTCTGCATTTCGCTTGGTGAGTGCAGGTGGCCGGTGGCCCTTTTTATTACTGAAAATGAGGCATTCCATCTTAGTCCTCACGGGTGACAACGCATCTGCATTTTGATTTGTAATAGAGGATAGATGTAGATGTCTATGGGCCGCAGCAACCACTTACCATCAGGTGGAATGTGTGCTCGTTTGTCACACTTATTGTAAAAAAAAAAATATTGCCACATGGAGCGTTGGCCGCTCCCCGGACTGAACACCTTGCCCGACGGGAGATATCCCCTTTTCCTTCCACGGCCATAAGGTTATGGTTAAGATTAATGCCTCTTCTACACTACTCGCGAAGTAGATCGAAGTTAGTCCAGGCGAATAGTGTAGAGAGGTACTTCGATACGCTTCGTGCAACCTCACTTCACCTCGGGCGACTTCCCATCGCTGTCGGTTTTTTGCGCCAGAGTCAAAGAACTTCGCGAAGTACCCCGAAGTTACATGAAGCGTCTCACTACACTACTCGGCTTACGTCAGTTATGAATATTTTTTTATATATATAAATATTAAATTTTATTATATTTATTTAGTTAACGCATTGATGTCGTACTGTTCACACAATGAGGTACCTATAGCAGCTGCCTCTTGAACGTTATTCATGTTAAGGGTGCGGGAGACTCAAGACGACTGAGTTCTTCGCAAAGTAGCACGAGTGTGTGATCACGTTCTTCGGACTGCGATCGACTTCGACGAGCACTTAGTCAAAGTTACTTCGCGAGTAGTGTAGAGGAGGCATAAGATCCGCACGGCAAAGTTATTTAACAGTTGTATTGTGGCGTATGAAAGGTGGCGTCATAGGTACGTGGCCACTCTCATGACTTGGGGAAGATCCCAAATCCCACTGCTTGACTGTTTATGGGTCGATGAAAATTTTTAATAATACAATACGAATTTCGCCCCATAATATGGCAATTTAAAGCGTGCTTATAAGAAATTAATATCACAACACGCTTTGCTTACCATAATACTATAATGTCAAGCATAAATCCCACGTGTATGATAACTCCTAGAAATTACCTCTAAAATTAGTTTAATTACGCTGTACGGTAGAGTATTTAAGGTTAGAGCGCTGTAATATTACACTCAAAATAATTTTTCCTTCTCAACATATTTTTTCTTGAGGTCCAAAACCAGTAAATCGTTTTCCAGATCTGTATATTAATATGTTCAAAAGTAAATTATAGCCATGGGCAAGTGCACGCGCGCGCGCGTAAGTGTGAATGTGTGTGTGTTTGTGTGAGAGAAAGTCGGTAAATCAAGTTAGTTATTTTACAATCAGTTTAATTATTTTTCTGTTTCGTCATAAGATTTGTTTTGAAGGTATGAGCGGACAGTCTCCTTGCATTTATAGAATGATAACCCATATATACGACATTTTTCGCTTATTTTATTGTAAAGTGACGGAAATAGGAAATAAAATAATGTTTTAGTGAATGATGAGCGAACTAATAATAGTATAAGAAATAACAGGTTGTAACGGTTGTGTTCAAGTGAGAGATAGTAGAATAACTTAGTTAAATATAATTTGTTAACTTACTTGAAGTCATTCGGAGTTACGTCAGAAACAAACCAAGGTATCTTCTTTACATGGAATCGAACCTGAAAATAGCAATAATATATTTATAGCATTTCATCACAATACAATTACCCGTTTGAGTCACTATATCCTATCACCGGTCTGAATATTATAGGTCTGAAAAATTTGAAATGGTATTACAACATTCAACAGATTTGTTTTACTTTAAAAAAAAGTTAAAGTTAAAAGTTAGTACTTTAAAAAAAATATATTCTAAACTTTGACCCATGTCTAGTATACACAAGTCAAGTCCTCTCAACTAAAGAGATATATGTCCAGCAGTGTGTGTCTAAACGTGGTAGAGCCATGCTGCAGCTATATTACTGGTATAGCTGCTACAAGCACGAATGCTCGACCGGGAAAGGACCACGCTCTCACAGAATACCAGCGTAAAATAGCAGCTTCACACTGCTGTATGGTGAGTGTAGTAAACCGGAGACCCTTTTTACTGGAAAAGAGGCATTCCATCCTAGTCCTCACGGGTGACAACACACACACACAACAGCTGAACATGTTAATATACCGATCTGGAAAATGATTTACTGGTCTTGGACCTAAAGAAAAAATATGTTGAGAAGGAAAAATAATTTTGAATGTAATATACGCATCTGTATTTTGATTCGCAAACGAGGATAAATGTAGATGTTTATGAGCCACAGCAACCACTTACCATCAGGTGGACTGTGTGCTCGTTTGTCACCCTTATTCTATAAAAATTATCATATAAAAAAGTGTACTTCTATAGTTACAGAGAGAGAGGGAGAGAAACAAACTTAAAAAATCATATTAAAGTAACATAAACACGACCACTTACTTTCTGAACAATCCCTTGTGCTATTAGGAAATGCGCTAAACACAAGTCCGAGAATAACTCGTAGCCGGCGTTGTCACATACAATGTCTGCAAAAAAATAAATTCAAAATGGATAATAATGAGTGCAGAATATATGAACATTGTTTTTAACGACAATATTCCTGAAACAAATAAATAAAATGAATCCGTACAAACTTCACGTGCGATTGAAGTAAAAATTATTAATATAGAAGTGGTAAAATTGAAAAATTTTGTACAATGAATTGTTAATTTTTTTAAAAACCACTCGACCGATTTCGATAAAATTCAAATGGGACTAAAAAATAATTTTCCAAATCCGTGCAGGCGTCTTCGAGTAATCGATGAACATACATAAAAAAAAAAAGAATCCTGTTTGAAGTCAGTTGCAAAATTAATAACTTTTGCGCTGTCATACCGTTTTTTTTTTTATAGGATAGGGTGACAAACGAGCACACAGCCCATCTGATGGTAAGTGGTTGCTGTAACCCATAGACATCTACATCTATCCTCGTTCGTGAATCAAAATGCAGATGCGTTGTCACCCGTGAGGACTAAAATGGAATGCCTCGCTTTAAGTAAAAAGGGTCTCCGGTTCTCTACACTCACCATACGAAACACAGTAGTGTTAAGCTGCTATTTTACTCTGGTATTATGTGAGAGCGTAGTCCTTCCCTGATCGTGCTACAACTATACTACTAATTTAGCTGTAGCATGGCTCTACCACGTAAAAAAGCTTCTTCCTAATAACGACTAAAATTAAAAAAACTGCGGTTGCCAGCCCGCCCGCCAAGCGTGGCTACGGCATATTTCCTTCTTATGAGGCAATCTAAGGGTGAGGCCTATGTTAAGCAGTGGACTTTAATTGGCTGTAACGGATACCAGGCAATGAGAAGCAGATTCAGAGATGCCAAATAGTGCACCAATTGGCAATCCGCGTGTCAAACGTAGCAATTATAGCAAATACTGTGTACAATTGTATATCAAATAGCAAGATTTCAATTAATTTATGTCAACTTATATGATATTGTTGCACGCCACAATTAATACCACTAGCGCCCTCTAGTATCGAGTAACAGAACTAGGAGAGTCAAGAACCTTTTAGAAATTTCCATGGAAAAACTTTCTGGAACTATCGACATCTAGTCAATCGGGACCGGTATGTACTCGAAAATTCTAGATATTTCTACATTGGAAGGTTCTGGAAACTATCTGAGGCCTTATATAAGGCCGTTATAGGCCGCGACCGAGGCAGTATTTAATTGGCGATATAAGCGAATACATCGAAGCGATACAACTGCGAACTATAGTGATCAGTAGTACAATTGTGTTTTATTATTAGTGTGGTTTAAATTGTAATTAGTGCTCTGTAATTAAAGTGTCAATTTTGGTAATTCACTCGGCAGTTTTTAATTGTCTCGAACCCCAAGCTCGTAACAACATATTGTAAATAGAATTAACAAATAATTACCAAACATAACAGCGTCCGGTATGGTCATTTTCGATGGACATGGAATCTTTGGTGTTTCCTCCGTTTCTTTGGTTTCTTCTTCCGCTGGTGGGGACGCGGTGGGGGACCCCTTTTTACTACTAACGCTCTGCACTTCCGGTTCCTTGACAACAAAGATCTACTAAGAATAGTCTTCTTAGATATGTCTAAGTTACTATTTTTAATAATAAAACTACTTTAATGAATTAAACGCAATTTATACAAAAATTTTAACTACTTCAAATTTACATTGTAAGTCATAAGTTGCTACTGTGTACATTGAAGTATTTTATACTATACCATACAGGCTTGACCTCAAACCACACACCATAAACAATCGACAGATGTATTGACATCCCAAAAGGCTATGAATGTCTCAAAGTCTGGCTTTGTCTCAATATATCTGGCTCTATAGACTGGCCAGAAATGAGAAAGGGGATAAGGGTTCATAAAGTTCAACAGCGGGCTGCTTAGCAAAATTGGATAAGAAGATTTCTGTCCGTGGAAAAACAGGAGCCCTTCTACGTAATTAACTACAACTAAAAATGGAACTAAACTAAATTTCAACGTCATGTCTCTAAGTTCTTAGGGGTTTTAATAACATCATTTCTACAGTTTACACAAGCAATATTAAAAACTTAAAAAAAAAGGGCAAAACCTTCTCGGGACACAAGGGTATCCCACAAAGTGTTGCCAATCGGTGACAACTACACTGATACTTGAATGTTGTATTCTGAAATATGTAGACAATTCAATACATTGGGTGTGTTTACCACGCATTCTAATTAATACATACATAACTTCACGACTGTAATCTACGAAGTGGTAGGCAGAGTCCAAACACCGTGGAGCTATGCGACCACGTTTATTTTTTATTATTTTATTTACAAGGTTCGTCAGCAAATTTTTTTATACAAGATATTAATTACGATAGCCATAGTCTATAGCTGTAATATGCTTCACAATATACAACTTTTTATAGACGAACACAGGATGCATATGTAGTATGTACAGGTAACATTTAGGTAAAACCTTAAATATTAGGTCTCTAAAACATAATGTTACAAATTTTGCACAAGCTAAAATAAAATTTTGCCAGAAATAAAGGTTGAAAATTGTGGAAAGGAGTGATAGAGGGCTAGAAAACCGGCTATACAATCAAAAACCCAATATTCCATTAGTCATCTTATACAACATGCTAGATACAAAGTTAGCACACTCTATTTTTGTTATAAGTCTAACATAAACATATGACCTATAATTCCCAGACCAACGTGGGGGGACAAGTCATAATTTTCGATAATTTAAATTTTCGTGATAAAACAAGTTTTCATCAATTGCTCCTAATAAAATCGATTATGATTCATTATAAAATTATCGATTGCTCATTAAAATACAGATGCAATGTCGCCCCTGAAGGCTAAGACGGGATGCCTCACGAAACACAGCAGCATTAAGCTGCTATTTCACGCTGGTATTATGTAAGATCGTGGTACTTCTTTGGTCGACCCGACCGATACGTGCTACAACTATAATAAAGCTGTAGCACGGCTGTAGCACGGCTTTACCACGTATCTTGCCAAGTTTAAATAGCACCTTTGTACCTCCGCGTCGATTGCGTGCAATATCATTGCTCCGCCATTAAACTCAACACCGTTACATTAGAAAAAGCACACCACTGTAGATTATACACGTGTTTCGCCCCAAAACGAGGCATCAACAGAATAAATATAGTTGACGTCGGCTAACCACTACGACAGACATTACAGCGTCTATTTCTTGAGATATTATCCCCAAAGACTTCTATATATATACTACTAAACGGGCTCTCTCGACTTAATACATTCAGCACTAAGTTACGGTCAATTATCCGTAACTCCTTTAGTCGACTGGGAGCGTCCGAAAAGACTAGTTCTTTGTTTTATAAATCGCGAACGTTGTTTTCGACAATCTAACATCGATTTTGTTTAAATGTGACTAAGAAAACGCTGTCATTATTTATGTTCGCACTTGGACAACGTGATTTGAAGTATGTTTCAGATAAATAAGTAACGTTACTTCTGTATTAGTTTAAAAACAGTAAGTGTCGTAAATGAGAATACAACTGCATGGCATATTTACCGTGCCAGCTACTAACCCGCGCGGTCCACAACTGTGATACAGTTGTTTTTCTGAATTTCCAGTCCTAGTGGCATACATAGAAGTCTTTGTATCCTTATCTCTTTCTATGATACAATTCTAAGTATTTCACCACCCATTTCGACAACCTGCAGTCTCTTCTAGTGAATAAAATAGGTTTGACTCACCCCCGCTATAGTTTTCGCCATGGCCTCGGCCTTCGCGATGACTTGGTCGTATATTTTACCGGAGTCGTCAACTAACACCTGAAACAATGAACCGCCCGCTTTTGATCATTTAATTGATAGAACATTACCACACTAGCTCAGCTTTATTCGATGATGGCATCCACGACTTTTTCCGCCACCAGGGCAGCGTCAGCGTAAATCATTTGACAGATTTCATAGCGGGCAAAATAATTCCTTAGAAAAATGTAAAGGTTAATGTTCCTTTCTGTATTATTAATTAGATTAAAAATAAATAAACCAAACTATAAATATAACTAAAAGTAAAAAAATCAAAAAGAGGTATAAAATGCAAAAAAAGTTAAAGATCAAATCACTGACGCATTATGTTGTGTATTAATATATAACTCTAGAAACTTTAAATGAAACTAATTTTTACGGATTTTATCGCGTTTAATTTAACTTTTTAATTCCCGACGTTTCGGGTGCTTCACAGCATCCATGGTCACGGGGGACTGAGGTGTTTGACGTCCCGATGTGACATTCAGTTTTTGAATATTAATTTTTGATCCGATCTACGCCGAATGAACTTACAGTATCTCGAAGTCTTGCAGTGGTATGCTTGGGTTTGGATTTAATTTTAATAATTATAAGATCCCAAGCAGATGGCAGCACCCATCCATCTTCTCAGCTATATATTCTTTCTTTTTGTTATTACATTAGATTTGGTAGCGATATAGCTTGCTATTTCTAATTTGTTTTGACTGTAAGCTGTTATTTTTTTAAAAAGTCCCGCTGGGTTGCTTACTGGTTCTTCCCAGGACACAGGTTTTTTCCGAACCAGTGGTGATTAAACAAGAGAGTGACTTTCAATAAGTATTATAATACATAATACATAAACACTCACGCCTGTCACCCAGAGAGGTAGGCAGAGACTACGGACTTCCATTTGGCGCGATCCTGACACACCTTTCTCGCCTCCTTTACACCCATATATCTACGCATACACGCTCGTCGGTTAAGGGTACTCCTAATCTGGCCCATTTTTAATGTATCGCCGATTTGGTCGATATTTTTTTTTATAGGAGAGGGGGCAAACGGGCATACGGCTCACCTGATGGTAAGTGACTACCGCCGCCCATGAACAACTGCAACACCAGGGATGGAATTGCAGATGCGTTGCCGGCCTTTTAAAAAGGAGTACGCTCTTTTCTTGAAGGTCCCTAAGTCGTATCGGTCCAGAAAAATCGCTGATGGTAATCGATTCCACAAGGAAGTAGTGCGAGGAAGAAAACATCTTCTAAATCGCACAGTGGTGGACCGCCAATCATCCAGATGGTGTGGATGGTATCAGGAGTTCTGCCGCGAAGTGCGTTCGTGAAATTTGGCAGCTGGGATTAATCCGAACAATTCCTCAGAGCACTCCCCATGGTAAATGCGAAAGAAAATGCAAAGAGATGCAACATCTCTTCGCAGTGCCAATGAATCGAGCCGATCGGAAAGGGCTCGATCGTCGACGATTCGAGCCGCTCTGCGCTGGATGCGGTCAAGTGGAAGGAGCTGGCACTGGGGAGCCCCTGCCCAGAGATGGGAACAGTATTCCATGTGAGGCCGAACCTGCGCCTTGTAAAGTTGCAGGCGGTGTGCCGGCATGAAATACTGTCCCGCTCTGCTAAGCACGCCAAGCTTTTTAGAGGCCAATTTGGCCTTCTCTTCCAAGTGACCACGAAACTGCACGTCACTCGATATGTCGACTCCGAGGATACCGATACTGGCTGAGGCAAGAAGGGCAGTGCCTTGAAACTGAGGAGATATGACAAAGGGGTTCTTTTTAGCGGTAAACGCGCAAACTTGTGTATTCTGAGGATTAAACTGGACTAGATTTAGTCGCCCCCAATCCGAGACTTTGTTCAGCAAAGACTCGACTTCAGACACAAGTTTGTTCCGGTACTCGGCGACGTTTTCCCGAGAAATATTGGCACGGCCGGTGTATAGAGCATCACCAGTGCTGTCATCCGCATAGCAATGAATGTTACCAGTTAGCAACATATCATTGATATGCAGAAGAAACAGCGTTGGTGATAGCACACAGCCTTGTGGAACACCAGCGTTAATAGGCTTGTAGTCAGAACATGCACCGTCTACAACGACCTTGATGCTCCGATCTGCAAGGAAGCTGGTCCAATTGCACAATTTCTCGGGAAGCCCATAGGAAGGGAGCTTCGAAAGAAGCGCTTTGTGCCAAACCCGATCGAAGGCCTTCGCAATGTCCAGAGTAACGGCCAACGCCTCCCCCTTGGACTCTACTGTCTCCGCCCATCTATGGGTCAGGTAGACCAGAAGATCACCAGCTAATCGACCCCGACGAAATCCGTATTGGCGGTCACTAATCAGCTGGTGATCCTCAAGGTACCGGATGAGCTGGCAGTTAATAATGGATTCCATTATTTTCGAGAACAAGGAGGTGATCGCGATAGGCCTATAGTTGGACGGGTCTGAGCGGTCGCCTTTTTAGGGATCGGGTGGACAAAAGCTGTCTTCCATGAATTCGGGACTACGCCTTGGGAGTAGGAGTACCGGAAAAGACGCGTTAGGACCGGTGCCAACTCCGGAGCACACGTCCTCAGCACAATTGGGGGGATTCCGTCAGGCCCACTCGACTTCTGGATGTCCAGGGAGAGAAGTGCTTTGCGAACCGAGCGCTGTGAGAACAGCACATCCGGCATGGAGCACTCACACCGCGGGATGGTCGGCGGTGTTTTCCCCCCGTCATCAAGAGTCGAGTTGGACGCAAAAAGGGAGCCTAAAAGGTCGGCTTTGTCTTTTGCGTCTTGGGCCAGTGAGACATTCTCCCTGTGCAGAGATGGTAGTGATGGCTTACAGAAATTCCTTTGGACAGCCTTGGCGAGAGACCAGAATGCACGGGTTCCCGAAGGAAGGCGAACTAGTTTCTCGCCAATTCTGCCTATGTGCTCTGACTTTGCCTTGGCAATAACTCTTTTGAAGAACCTGGAGGCGAAGTTATACTTCTTTTTAAGTGTACTGGTGTTTACATCCCGAGTCGCCGAAGCCGCAGCCCAGGCTTGATAACACTCCTGCTTACTGCGTAATGCAGTCTTACAGGAGCGACCAAACCAAGGCTGAGATCTACCTCCGATGGGATGGAATAAATAGTTCCTGTTCACGCCAAACGCTAATTTCAAGAATTAATGCGAGAGGGCGCTCGGCGCGGTGTATTCATACCGGTTTGACTTTCGGTCGTAGTAGAACGCACAAGCGGAGCAGTCGTCTGTCAGCGGTACTAATGTCTGCACGCTGTAAATTTTTGTGCGGGAACCGCGGAATAGTTAGGGCGTCTAGTAAATATCCTGTCTAGGATTTATAACGCGCATTCCTTGTTGGATAGCCTTTCCCGGTACTTATTGGGTCCGACTCAGAATCTGTATAAGTGCATTCGACAATATTAGCTAGTGCGGCCTTTGATAGTCTAGAAATAACTGTTGCTACGCGAAACGGTAGTGACCTTTGATCCGGACACTCCGTGTGCGTTTTGTGCGTTAACCTTATACCCAACGAGAGTTAGTGGCTTCTGTAAGTTAGTTAATCGTACGATAGAGTTAATTGACTGTCATCGTGACGAACGAGGAAAGTGACTGTGGACAACGCCGCGAAAGGTTCCCTCAATTTGGAGCGGTGTCGACGCCCGGGCTGCTGCCGACGGACAAGGTCTAGGGTCAATCACCATCAGTCACACCCAGATACACATCACATCACCTTATTTCCCTTGCACTACACAACCACATGCGACCTGACCGACTCCGGAGGGACCAGTCGCCTTGGATATAGGTAAGTAAGCTCCGTCTAATATCCTCCCAGTCGACTGGCCGTAGTATAGAACGCTCCCCCATATAGTTTAGTGTAATTAGAGATTTTCCACTTTGGCCTGGAGGAGGCCCGACCTACGTCTGCTCGTCGAAACACAGCTGAATGGGCCCCTGAGGATTTGACCTTTAAGGGAGCAGCCGTAGGCCGTAACAGTTCCATTCCCTGTAGCACCACATCAGTGACAGAGTCAGCAACAGCGCTGGGATCATCCGGCGAGAACCAAACCCGCCCCCATGGATAGGATGCAAAGAAAGACCGCATTCCGTCCCAATCCGCCGACCTGTAATGCCAAACACGGCGGCAACCTGCAGAACGCAACCGCGAAGGGAGCGTGAGTTGCACCATACTCCGTATCAGACAATGGTCCGAAGAGCCGAGAGGGGCATCGACGGAAACCTGATATCCGTCCGGATGAGAGGTCAGCAGAAGGTCCAACAGGGAAGGTGTATGATCCTCCACATCTGGAATCCGCGTAGGCGAAGTAAGCAGTTGTGTCAGACCATATGCCAAAGCAAAGTCATAAACAGATCTCCCCGCATAATCGGTTAAACGTGAACCGAGCCATTCGGCATGGTGGGCGTTAAGATCGCCAATCATCACGATCTCTGCGGATGGGACCTGTTGTAGCAAGGAATCTGTAGCCATTTGGACGTGGTCGATGAGTCGGTCTGTTTCGACATTACCGCTATGGGACCTATAGAGGCACCCGTAGACGCGCGGATGGTCGTCGCTGTCTACGCGTAGCCAAAGGATGGACAGGTCCGAACCTTCAAGACTGCCGAGCCGTCGAGAACAGATGTCCTCTCTGACATACACGCAAACTACAGCCCAAGGCACAAAAGAGTGCTCCAATTTGTACCCTGGGTAGGAGAGATACGAAATATCAGCCGGAGAGGAAACCTGCATCTTGGTCAGAAAGAGCAAGGCCGGCTTCGCCGTCTCGAGATGGTAGTGGACGGCGTTTAGGTTAGAGTGAAGTCCCCTGATGTTGCAGAAATTCACGGATAGCGTGGCAGGGGTCGCCTTGGTATTGTTGCTCAATTTGCCCCGAGCAGTTATGTTTTTGAGCGGAATTTTGCCCCCCCCCCCCCCTCCCAGAATACGCGGAGCAGCCTGTGCACCCACGCTCAGGATTGGAATCACATGGTCGTGGATGCTCAGCGAGGGATTCTCCAGGGGTACTGGTACCCTCCTGAGGTAGTCTATCGTGTAATTCCGCTACCATGTTGATGGGGGGGGGAGAATTGGGTCTCCGGCTACCTGCACTCACCAGACGAAACGCAGAAGCAGAGCTTCTACTTCACGCCGGCCCATTCGTGCAACAGCAAAAACTGCTGCGTGGCTCTACCACCGTTGAATCCTCGCAAATGAACACAGATTCCTACCAAGAATGATTCGCGAGGCTATTGAAATTAAAAAACATCCTAATTTCAATAGAGAAGGTGCTGCCATCTGCTTGGGATCCTAACGAACGAAACGTCGGGAATTAAAAAGTTAAATTAAACGCGATAAAATCCGTAAAAATTAGTTTCATTTAATGTGTAGTCTTCGCGTAAATATAAGAAATCATTACTCTAGAAACTGATAAACTATTATTTAAAACTAATTTCTCAAGAAAGTAAAATTGAGTAACAGAAAACTTTACCTCAGTCACAACTAGCGACATCTGGTGAGTGGAAGATTCTTAGCCCTCATTGACACAATTTAATTTTTTATGATAACTTCCATCTCCATATTATAATCATCATTATCGTCCACATGAGAGGTCCAATTCTAAACACAGGGCTTACCCACAAATTGCCATCAAACACGGTCCTAAGCCACCCGCATCCATTGACTCCAATATGTCGCCAGGACATCACTCCATCTTGTGGGGTGTCACCCTAGGCTATTCTTGCCAGTATAAGGCTGTCACATGAGAAGTTATATTTCCCATCGGTTATTTGTTTCTACTGTTATCTTCGGTTCGTAGACACACAAGCATACAGTCCACCTGATTATAAGTGGATGCTGTGGCCCATAGACATCTATGTACATATTTCCTCGATTAAGAAACGAAATGCAGATGCGTTATCACCCCTGAGAACTAAATTGGAATGCCCCATTTCTAGTAAAAAGGATCACTCACCATACAAAACACATCAGGGTTAAGCTATTTTACGCTGGTATTCTATGGGAGAGTGGTCTTTCCCCGGTGGAGCTGACCCATTCGTGCTACAACCATAAAATTGCTGCAGCATGAATTTACAATGTAAAAAAATTGACCACAGTCTCAGATCAACAAAGAAACATACGGAGCGCCGAGTATATTTAGAGTGATTCCGAAACCTCTTTTTGGTTCGCACACACACACACACACACACACACATCTTTATTCTGTTTCTTTATCAAGTTGTATAAGTTGATATAAGTTGACACATTTGCACCTAGTCTCGTTGTTGGTAGCAAATTATTATAGATGCAAATAATAATTTGCAACAACGTGCTTGCGTGTTCTTACAATAAGACGATCATGGTTTTGGCTCGGTTATTACGTCACTTGAAATGAACGCAGCGCTGTCTTTCTTTCTTTGTTGGTCTGAAGTTACAGTGTACTATCTAAAATAATCCTTATTACCTTATCCTTAAAGTCCAAAATCATTTGAAACGGATCAATAACACCCATACACAAGGCAGTAGCTTGATTAGCGTCGTTGTTTAACTCGTTGGATTTTAAAGACACTTGTTCGCCCATAGACAACGAGAGGTCGCATTTGTTAGCCCATAGACAAATCTATAAAAACACAAAGAAATTATATTAAGAATTGTAAGAGCAATAAATGAATAATTTATTTTACTTGTTACGAGTTACATATGGGATATATAACAACATCTTTTAAGGTGGCGTTATTTCTTATATGTTGTCACCATTGCGGCTTGTATTTACTGGCCGGAAGAAATGATTTATTTAATATTAAAGAAAAAAGTTTCTTCATTGGTCATTGTTACTGCTATTTTGTAGACACTAGCTACGATGCGTGAATATAAAATTCAAATCAGGTGCATGCGATCACTCTGGGAGCTCGTAGCAAACTAAACGCGCGCCCAACGTGTGAACGCGGCGGGAAATACTCTGCCAGAACCCTTTGATCTTTTGTAAAAAAACCGACACCGCACGGATCTCGGGCCAACTTGTGGGCCAACACTCCAATACATACCAACGTAACCACAAACACGCGCTCTACACTACGGCCATTGGTATTGGCCAACACATTCGCCACTATGTTGGCCAACGTGAAGAGCCCGCCTTAAAGATTAAGCATACACACAGAACATCCTGTAATGATACTGGCTCTCTATAACATTGCTATTTGGCGACAAAAATAAGCAAACACAAATTATATATACAAATTGCACACAGACAAACATCCAAACCCATTGCAATTATTTGTAGTAGGCCATATAAACTATGTATCCGTAGCACCACAATTTAGTTAAGTTACCTTGAGCAATGTAGTAAAGTCCGCCTTCCTTTTGTCCTTATCACCAGTTTGCAGCATTGTGGTTAGCTTTTCGGCGACCACGCACATCGGCTCTAAGCTATTCTGAAAGGATTTCTCCTTCTGTTCATCGAAAGGATCGAAGTTTTGAAGGCCTTTGCTAAAAAAAAATTAAAATTTGTATTTTAATAAAAAACAAGTAAAAGCCGACAAGGAATCTTATAATATACCGCTCCATCTATCGGAAACCGTGAGATCTTTCTGGCATATACGTGGTAGAGCCATGCTGCAGCTATATTAGTAGTGTAGTTGATGCACGAATGGGTTCACAGAATACCAGCGTAAATTGGCAGCTCAACGCTGTGTTTCGTATGGTGAGTGTAGAGCAGTGAAATTATTTTTTTGCGCATACATATGTCAGATATAAAACCGAAATATAATTATTGATAAAACAGTGAAACAATTTCATTCCTCACATTAAAAATTAAAGTAAAGAGTAAAGTATTTTACTTTTCAGATATTTCTAATAAAAGTTTTTGTTCTTATTTAAATTACAGGGAGTTCTATTATTCCTACGGTGCCACGATTTGAAGGCGTAATCGCATAAATCTTGACGAGATACGCTGAAAACTGAGAATTTTTCGATATCTCACTTAGTTTTCCAAATATCGATACTCAAAAATCGAATACTAAAACCGAATCAGCACGCCCCGAATCCACGTAGTCTCGTCCGCCCCTAGTGTTTTTGTACGTTGACGTATCTGTATTTTGATTCGTAATCAAGGATAGATGTGGATGTCTATGGGTCACAGCATCCACTTACCATCAGGTGGACTGTGTGCTCGTTCGTCACCCTTATCCTAAAAAAAAACTATCCCATTGTATTGGATGGCGTATTGGATTCCAATACGACACCGCCATACGGACTCTACTAACGTATTGGCGCGCTGCACGGCTAAAATGGGCTGGGGACAAAAAATGTATCCCCAGATTACATCCACTGACAAGAGATAAAATGATCTTGTACTTATGCCAAAGCAAGCATCAAGCTGCTATTTTACGCTCGTATTCTGTGAGAACATGGCCCATTACACGAACCGACCAACTCGTGCTACAACCATAATATAGCTGCAGCATGGCTCTACCACGTATAAAAATATGATGGTATAACGATGATGGTGTAGACTTACGTTAGCTCACAGCCCTCCCTCAGTCTCCTGTAAACGTAACACTCTGTAAATACCCAGGTGTTGAGAAAATAGTTTTGAGTGTCGGTCTCCTCGATCCACTGGTTCCATTTCTTCGCTTCAGGCGTATCGACGGTGAGCAGGTCATATTTCTTATTCGTGACTAGGTCGTTTTTTAACTTGTTTATGTATTGCATTAAACTCCGTATATCGTCGTCGGTCTATGACAAAACAAAATACATTTTAAAAAGTTAAAGTGAACGAGAAAGAGAAAAGTGGTAAAATAAAAAATTTGTACAGCCGACTTCAATATAAATTATTAGATAAGGATAACTCAAAAACTACTGATCCGACCTTGATCAAATCCATTTATATTGATCCACATGAGAAGCACCAGCTTTCAAATAAAAAAAAGAATCATCAAAATCGGTTCACCTAGGAAAAAGTAATGAGGTAAAACACACATAAAAAAAATACAGTCGTATTGAGTACTTCATCCTTTTTGAAGTCGGTTAAAAGGCAGAGACCTATGTTTAGCAGTGGACTATTTACAGGTTGTAATGATGAATATTGTAATTTTCTGTATGAAATTTCATACTATGAGTTAATCTCAAGGTACAACTGCAGTCCATGGAAAAGTTAAAAGTAAAACAGCCTATATACGTCCCACAGTTATGCACAGGCCTGTCTCTCATTTCTGAGAGAGTTGGAAGTGTCCGCCGCACTGCTCCAAGGCGTGTTGGCGAATTTCCCATGTTTTTGAAATAATTTTTTTTCTTATTTCTCAAACATTCAGGTTTTCCCACGATTTTTTACGTTCGCCGCCGAGCACGTGGTAAATCAGCACTTAAAATTGCAATTAACAAATTGCAAAAAAACAATTTCATTGGTGCCGGCGGGGATTGAACCCGGGTTGCTCGCGTACTATGAAATTTACAGCGAGCTCTAACCATCTGAGCTACCACGGTTCTTTTACATTTTACATAAAGGTAAAAAGTTTTATTATAAATCAGTGCTTGCACAATCCCATCTGGTAGTAAGTGGTGATGTTAAGTTTTGTGGTCATCCACACCTAATCTTCTTAAATGCGATATTATCTCTGTCTGTTTATTACCTCATCACGACATTGTACCGATCGTAATGATAATCGAGAAATTGGTAACCTTGGACCTGTAGAAGGACCCACGCTACATATTGTACCCAACAGGAAAACTAGATGGCGCTACGTGTCTTTTAAATCATTCAAAGAATAAATCAATACCATTTATCTGCTTTTTATTATTCATATTTTAAATCATTATTTGAACATGCGTTAGTGATTTTTAATGAAAAGAAGTAACACTAAATCAAAAGACAAATTCACGTTTTAAAGGTGGACTTTATTGTCTTCATCTGTTTTTGACAAAGGTACTTTTCAATAGATGGCGTTACCTGTACTTAAATTATGCACGACTTAAATTTTGAATTCAACTAATCAACTAATTTTAATTTAATAGGGAATTAAAATAAGTTAAACTTAAACGCGTATAATCCGTAAAATTACTTCTATTATATACCTCATCGTGTGCGCCATTACTACCCATTTCTGTTCTTAGAGTCACCTACTAGATTTTTAGTTTACTATTATTTATGGAGTGTAGAGAGAAGGAGGACCATCCCTATATATGAAAAGTGTCCAATAAGGGTGGCGCTGCGCTGAAAAAAAAGCGCCAAAAGTAATTAGAATAAGATGGAGAAATAAACAAGGACCGACCAATCCGCTTGGTTATGTACTACGTAAATAGTTGAGGTTTTGTATACTAGCATTTTACTAACTACTCTAGTCATAAAATTTTTTAAATATTTTAATTCAGCTGACTTCACTCCGTCTACAACAGCTATATTCATATCGTAGTTTTCAGACGCCAGCGCTATTGTGGTAGGTTTTGGAACCTATATTTTCAGTAAATAGTAGGACACTTTTTCAACTTTCGCCCCTTATAAGATGGTTCTCCTTGTACTCTACACTTCATACTATTATTGTATATCATACACACGTAAGCACACACGCACGCACACACACACACAATCACAAACACACAATTTATAAAAATCCACCTAAACATGCACGTACACTGCAATTACGGCAACGATTATGACTTGAAAACTGCAGTTAACAATTTTATTGACGCGGCCGGGAATCGAACTCGGTTTGCTCGCGTACTTGAAAATTTTAAGCGAGCTTACCAACAAAGTTGCCACGGCTCAAATTATTAGCAACAGTGTCCTGAATACTGAGGACTGCAGTAGCAACTTACCATCAGGATAACTGAAGTTCGTTTGTCAATCTAAAGTTAAAACACAGTTACTTGTAGAATACGTAAAAGTTACAAACGCTGTATTAAGTGGAAGAGCCAAGCTGCGGGTATAGTATGATTGTAGCACGCATGGGGCGACTCGACCGGTGAAAGATCACGCTCTCAAAGAATACCAACGCAAAACAGCAGCTTAAGCTTAAATAAGCCGTGTGTCGATTGTTGAGTGTAGAGAACCGGCGACTCTTTTTACTGGTAATAAGGCATTCCTATCTTAGTCCTCATGAGTGACAACGCATCTACATTTTGATATTTAATTGAGGATAGATGTAGGTGTTTTTTTTATAGGAGAGGGAGCAAACGAGCATGCGGCTCACCTGATGGTAAGTAACTTTTTTTATATATAGGATAACTACCGCCGCCCATGAACAACTGCAACGCCAGGGGAATTGCAAATGCGTTGCCGGCCTTTTAAAAAGGAGTAGGCTCTTTTCGTGAAGGTCCCTAAGTCGTATCGGTCCGGAAAAATCGCTGGTGGTAATCGATTCCACAAGGAAGTTGTGCGAAAAAGAAAACTTCTAAATCGCACAGTGGTGGACCGCCAATCATCCACATGGTATGGATGATATCGATGATATCGCGAGTTTTGTCGCGATGTGCGATGGTGAAATTGAACGGCTGGAATTAGTTCGAACAATTCCTCACAGTACTCCGGTACATGCGATAAAATACGCAAAGAGATGCAACATCTCTACGTAGTGCCAGTGAGTCAAGCCGATCGGAAAGAACTCGGCGTTTATGGGTTACAGCGTTCACTTACCATCTGGGGACTAGTGTGATGCAGTATTTTTAAATAATCTAATCATACTTACCGCGCCATGTTTAGTTTTTATCTTATTCCCTTCCCTAGATAGATAGTCTATGACCTTCGTTAATATGACAGGCATACGCTCTCTGAGTGAATAGTACGCGAAACTCCTGAAACCAATTGAAATGATTAAACAATAGCGTTTTTTAATTGTTACTTAAATTGTACTTTAACTGCCGACTTGACAAGGTCAAGCTAGGCTAAATCATAGAAGCCGCTGTCGCGTGTGTGGCGCAATTTGGGAAATTTCAATCAGTTGCAGTGTTGCAAAAGTTCCCGATTTATCGGGAGATCTACTGATTTTGGTTATTGTCTCCCGATACCCCGATTTAATGACCGTGTCTCCCGTTTTTTTTTTTTGCATTTTCAACTCATGTAAAATAATATTAATACATAAAATTGAAAAACAATATTCTAAATACGGAAACACTAAAATGAACCTTTAACATTAAAACTATGTACGGAGTATTCCCAAAGTTTTTATTTTTTATAATTACGATATAATTGTATATCTTTATATATAAAAATTACGTGTCACATTATTTGTCCGCGATGAACTCTTAAACTATTGAACTGAATTCAATGAAATTTTGTACACTGTGTGCAGTTTGGTCCAACTTGAGAGATAGGATACTTTTTATCCCCATAAATGACCTTCAATATTTTTTTTATTGCTAATCTAATGATTTTTTTATAGGAAGGTTCGTCGGAAAGGGCAGAACAACGTCTGCCTCGCCAGCTAGTTTTATTATAAAAATAAATATAATATCCAATGCAATAGAATAAAATATCATACAATATTTTAGGCATCAAGGACCTAAAAATTAAGTACATTGGTCCATAGCAATATATACCTTGACCTAAAATGATATAAAAACAAAAAATAAATAGCATGTACTTCTACCTATAATATATGTACACAAGTAATTTTTTCCTTCAAAAAAAACTCTAGGATTAACTTTCTCCCTTTTAATTAATATAAAATTTATTTAAAAAAAAATTCTATATAAAATTTTAAACTATCTAAGCGTTTGACATGCATTAAGCATTTATAATTTACAAATCGAAAAATAAATAACAAAATTACTACATATTACATAACGAAATGATCATATTTTTAGTATAAAAATGCATTATATTATATTATTATCAACAAAATACAATAATCACACAAAAAAAAATTATAAAAAAGAATATCGCCCGAACAGGGACTTGAACCCTGGACCCTTGGATTAAAAGTCCAATGCTCTACCGACTGAGCTATCCGGGCTGTATGAGAAGTGCTGAAATTTACAGCGACACTTCAAAAAAATTGTAACTAATAGTAAATAATCGTTTTTAATCATTTTTAAATGATCACATTACCATGGGTAATAATTTAAAAAATGTAGCCACGCCAAAGTAATTATTTATAATTAATAGATGTCACTGAAATCAAAATGAACCTTATTCCCAATGAATAAAGATTATAATTACATGTTTAGTTTTACTATATTCTGATATTAATGAAATATCATTAAATTCTATGCCGCCTTCAAAAAAAAGAGGTTCCCAATTATTGTTTTTTTTTTTTGTATGTATATACAACGCGTGAATTGTGAACCCATTTTTTTAAGGATAGTGCCATTTTAATATGAAGGAAAACAGTTTTAACTTTTTTTTTAACTTTATTATTTGGTTATATTATAATTATTTCTTAGATTTACGCGAACCCTCCGTGATCATGGGTGCTGGAAAGCACTTGAAAATCGAAAGTTAAAAAAAAGTAAAATTAAACATTATATCTGTGAAAGTAGTTTTATTCAACAGACTATGTTTTTTTTTAATGCGTGTTACGTCATAACTTTTTTCATAGATTTTAACCCGCGGCCATTCGTGCTGCAACTCATTGCTAAGCCACTGCGACACGGAGCCATCAACAATTAGGTAGGTAGCTTGGGATTAATCAATAATTATAACTTTTAACAAAAAGTAAAAACCAACTTCAAATTGCTATAAAATTAAGGGGTGAAATTTTTTTCTCCAAATTTATATGGGACCACCCTTGAAATATATGCTATTGCATAAAATAAGAATCATTAAAATTGGTTCACAATCTGCTTCTTTTTGAAGTCCGTTAAAAAAAGTTCAAGCTGGCCCATAACCGAGAACCCAATATTCACAGAAAAGTGAGAACAATCAACTCTTAACAATGGGACCAACATTGCAACAAATCAAGAAAAGGTTAATATATGACATCAATCAAACTAACGGACAACACAATTAATTTGTCACCAGTGACAATGGGCCAACAATATACTATCGATGGTATGACGAACATCCACTTGACATGAAGTGACAACTTCATATAACATACAGGTGTCTCGGGACATATTCACCTTCTCTATGAGCTTGTATATATCTATGGATAGCCATGGGCATGAGCCTTTCTTGTTATAAGAAGGATTTACCTTAATGGTCACACTTGGCAGACAGGCTGATGATTGCACTACCAGGAGTGAGCACCTTTATCCCTGCTGCCCGTTATTTTGCATCTAATGTAAGCGAGATGGTTATACCGCTGTCTATGTGAAGTCACAAGATCTTTCTAGCATATGCCATTGTTGCCTCTCACAACACCCAAGGGACAAAACGGGGTAATGGATTATCTTACGTCGCCACCGCATCGCATGGTCTCAGGACTGCTTGGTAATTTTTTTTTATGGAATAAGGTGACAACCGAGCACACAGTCCAGCTGATGGTAAGTCAATGCCATTTATATCTATCCACAATTAACAATCAAAATGAAGATGCATTGCCATCTACGAGTACTAAGATGGAATGCCTTATTTCCAGTAAAAGGGTTTCCGGTGCTCTACAATCACCATATGAAACACAGTAGCATTAAGCTGTTTAACACTGATATTCTGTGAGAGTGTGGTCCTTCCTCAGTAGAGCCGACCCATTTGTGCTACAACTATATAGCTGGAGAATAGCTCTACTCAAAGTTACATATTTAAATCAAACAGCCAAAGTTTGAAGACCAGGGTGATTTATAAGCCTTTCACAGGACATTTTTCATGTTTGGTGTAACTCTAAAAAATGTGTGATAAGAGGAGTATGGTTTTGCAAGTTAAATTAAACACATAATATCAACAATTTGTTAAGCTATAAATCAGGAGCAGTGTTGCACTCAACAATGAGGGCTAATAATTTTCTGCTCACCAGATGTCGCTAGTGACACTGAGGTAAAGTTTTTTGTTACACTAAGTAATTTAATTGAGAAGTTAGTTTTTAATAAAAGTTTATCAGTTTCTAGAGATATTAATACACAAAACAATGTGTCAGTGGTTTGCTCTTTAATTTTTTGCACATCTTTAACTTTTTTTTAATTTTTTTACTTTTATGTTCCGTGGTTTGGTTTATTAATTTTTAATCTTATTAATATAAAAAATATATAATAGTACATAAAGAGACAATAACCTTTACATTTTCCGAACAAATTAACTTCCCTGCTATGAAATCTGTCTAATATTCTCACTTTCTAGTGGCGCCTCCGTGGTGGCAGAAAAATTCGTGGAAATCATTCTCTACTACTTTATAAAAAGATCAGTAATCTGTATAATATACTTATGGGCTGTTACTTTAATTTACATTAGAGCACTATTATCCGTCTCATTACAGCCTATTAAAGTCCACTGTTGAACTTAAGCCTCCTCCCCATACATTGCCTCATAGGGGGGATTTGCCATAATTGCCACACTTGGCAAACTGGTTGGCAACTGAAGTTTTTTTTATTTTTAGTCATTATCATGGAGACACTGATTTGTTTTCTTCTGTCGCCTCTTGCGACACCCACACAGCTATATGGGGTGGTGGATATTCATAACACCGCCACTACACCGTGCACGGTACACACAACTTCTATAGAGTTTTATCAATAAAGATGCAGATAGTTACAATGCTCAGTAGAGAAGTCTTTTTTGTCATGCATAATTTCTTTACATAAACATGTTCTCTTAGTACAAGTAGTAGCAGTCCATCAAAGGTCCAGGACGTCTGGATACGGGGATTGCCTATCCACCTGCCAAGCATGTCAATTGAGGCAAATACTCACAACAGCACAGGAGACCCATGTATAGCAATCCACCTTTATAGCTTGATCATGATGACAACTAAGTAGGAAGTCATTTCAGAAATACAGATAATAAGATTTAATTTTTTTTTCCAAATCAGTTGTTTTTGTTTTTATAAAATAAATCAATTAACCGCATGATAAATGAATGCAAAATAAAGTAATTATAAGCGCTGTATAGTTAGTGAAAAAAGATAAGGAGATAATAACGATATAAAAATATTGTTAGAGAATCTTTATTATTTAATGAATGAACTATACGTACTTTTTGAAAGTGCCTTGCAGCTGAAGATTTATCGGTGTAGTTGTATTTATGAACGGACTTGGTTTTTCTACCTTTATAAAAGGCCCGCCGTATATAAAATCGGGTTTTGTGCTGTCATCTACTTCGTTTGTATTCTCAACGCTGACGACGGTCGACACCTGAGACCGACTTTCTTTTGGCGAACTCATTTTTTGTTGAAATATAATGTACCTAATTATTTTATTTCATTGCTAATTTAAATTTTATACGCGAATAAAAAAAACTTCCTACGTATATTATTGTTTTGATATTTTTGAATATTGAATTGACATTTGAAATTTTCAATATCAAAAATGACGTTCGTATTCATAGATTTATGAGAGTTTTGGCGTTTGGCGAGAACTTGAACGGCGGCGATTTACTGCTCCTGTATTATCGTTTAAATAATGATTTGAAGTTGATATGTATAAATGGTACATTTTTGTGTATTGAGTGTTTGCGCATATGAACTATTAATGGCAACGGTGAAACAAGTGCTCTGATGGTGATGTGATTCGCAAGATAAGGTGTCTGTTTGGTTAGGCGCTTTAAGATACCACCGCCAACTATCAGCTGTCTGCTGGCTCAAGTTGCTGTCAAAATCTTCTAAGGGCTGCACAATGTGACGCATCAACATATTCTGGAAGCAGTATACTATGAAGGATAATTATTCATTGTAACTACAGGCTCAGAAGGGCTAGAACCCAGAGCTGTAAAGCCAGTTATAAAAAAATTGATTTGCGAAAGAGAAAGACGTTCCGTTATAACGATTTCGAGTAATATGTTTTTACATTATTGATCCATCATAAATAATTTTGTATTAAATAAATTCTTACTTAATTTTACGTAACAATATTAATTTAATTTTGTGTATAAGATTTAAATATTTATCCAATGTTTAGTAAAATATGTAAATGTTGTGATTTTACAGGGTAGTGTTGAGTGGGTTATTAATAGGCATCTACTTAATTTAAAAATAAAACATTAGTAAAAATGGCATAACAAACACACCTTGCATAGTACAAAAGTTATAAAATACTAAAACACTCACTTTCCAAATATTCCACACATAACAAGATTGCGGGGTGTAACAATTCGCATTACAGGTAAATTTTCAGTGTCAATTGGCCAATCGTAGGCCCCCATAATTACAGTATTTAAAATATTGTTATTTTAAAGTTTAAGACTAATGTAAGACGTTAAGTCTGACTAATTTAAAAGCACGTGCACGTATACTAGTAAAGAAATAGTACCATGCTGTGACCCTGAACGGAACTAAAAATAGAGAAAATACTTACGTAATTACTATTCCTGTACAGATAAATAGGAGAAAATAGCATGGTTTTATTAATGTTTATAGAGTGAATGTTGACATTGTTTATTTTATTAAAAGTTTATGCTTCTTCGGTCACGACTAAATATATTATTTTTATTCTTATTATTTTCATTACACAGTCCCAAAATTTGTTGAAATAAATCGTAATTTTATTGCTTAGGAATCTGACTAAGTACTAGGTACTAGGTATGAACCAATTACCTAGTACCTAGTACTTAGTACACTCACGCCTGTTAACCAGAGGGGTAGACAGAGACTATGGACCATTTTGCACGATCCTGACACATATCTCTCGCTTCCTCCACATCCATATATGTACGCATACACGCTCGTCGGTTAAAGATACTCTTGATTTGGCACATTTTCAATATATCGCCAATTTGGTCGATAAACTTTCGCTTACGGCGTCCCTTCCCGACTCTGCAGTTCACGTCTACAACATAAATTTGCTTTGTCACTCTTTCCTCATTCATTCTTTCTACATTACCAAACCACCGAAGCATTCCTTTCTTAATCCTGGTCACAACATCATCTTGTAAACCATACTCTTCTCTTATCAAACAATTTCTGACTCTGTCATTCAGATTCATCCCTAACATACCTACTCCTTAATGATCGCATTTCTACAGCATTTACTCTCGTGCTTCTTCTGCCACACCCAACTTTCACAACCATACATTAAAGTAGGGAGTAACACAGTGTTGTGAATTGCCATACGTGCCTTTTTGGACACTTTCTGACTTTTCTGCCGCCAATTAGCAGTACATGCCCTACCAAAGAGTATTTAAATAACTATATATACTGCCCTACTGTGTTCCTCTTTGCACTAAGTATATCCTGCGCAGTTGATTAACTTCGAAACTTCGAATTATTCGGTGCTGTGGTCATGGACTCAAGGATTGTGATCTAGATCTAAATTATTACTAATACTTTGACTATTATAGAATAATTTGACTATTATCTTGCTGTTATCAACCAATCGATAGAATGGAATATGAAATCATAAAATTTTATTTTCATTTTATGAAATGACAACAGATGGCGCTGTAGAAAATGGCCAGTTTTGATCAAGGCAATAAATTATAACAATATCGAGCTGTTTAAATTACATACACTCATGGACAAATTTAGAGGAACTCAAGAAAGGTTGAATTTCTCCTGTTGTAATTATCGTACGTACTGGAGACAAATATTAGTAAAAGCTATTAAAAAAAAGGAAAGATTTGGATTTTTTATTCAATTATCAGTTATTTTTATGTAATGAGGGTATACTTAGGGATGAGGGTAAAGATTTCATAGCGGGACAAGTTAATTTGTTAGGAAAAATATAAGAGTTTAATAATTTTTTTAGAAATACTAGCTATATTTTATATTAATTATATTAAAATGGATAAACCATTCTTCAGGTATTCCTAAAAGTAAAAGAATGTAAAAAAGTGCAAAAAAAATTATGTGCAACCACTGAGTCCGAAACCGAAAACCTTTTATTCAAAACGCAATTTTTCACACAATATGGTGACACAGTGTAACAAATAACTTCACCGCAGTCCCAACTTGGGACACGCTCACCAGAGAGCGATAAATTATTAACCCTCATTAATGAAGTTATAGTTTTTTTACGTAATATATGTATTGCGTACTTTAATACAGTGAAAATTTTAGTCAACTTTTCAATTTGAGTTTACATTTACGTTTCATTTAAATTTTTGTCTTGCTACCTTGTTTATATCGTGTTAAGTGTGAATTGTTACTACAAATAAACATAGAATGTCAAATCTAAACAGCACCAGTTGCTAGGGCTGTTACTTTTATTGAAACTGGGTACATCTACAAACATGTGGCCCAAACATTACGTGTATCAAAATCTGTGGTACATCGAGTTATCAAAGAGGTTTTTTTTTATAGGATAGGGTGACAAACGAGCACAAAATCTACCTGATTGTAAGTGGTTGCTGTGATCCATAGACATCCACATCTATCCTCAATAAAGAATCAAATTAACGGCTCCGTGGCGCAGTGGCTTAGCAATGAGTTGTTGCACTAGGGGACGCGGGTTCGAATCCCGCACGGAACAAGTATTTGTATGGGCTACAAATAATTGTTTCGGGTCTTGATGTTTGTAAACTGCCTCCACGACACAGGAGAAAATCATAGTGTGGGGGTAACGTTTTAAAAAAAAATGCAGATGCGTTGTCATCCGTGAGGACTAAGATGGAATGCCTCTTTTCGAGTAAAAAGGATCTCCAGTTCTCTACACTCACCATACGAAACACAGCAGTGTTAAGCTGCTATTTTACGTCCGTATTCTCTGAGAGCGTGGTCCTTCCCCGGTCGAGCCGACCCATTCGTGCTACAACTATACTACTAATATAGCTGCAGCATGGCTCTACTACGTATCAGCAGACCGGAAATCAGCAAAATCAGCATTTCAGCACATATCAGCAGACCGGACAATATACCGGTTATTCCGTTTATCCACCCTAAAACAGCCACCCTAAGGTGTATACTTGGAAACGCGTGTTCATCTATCCACCCTATACGGGGTGTATAGAATAGAAGAAGGACGAAGATGGTAGTCAGAAATGACTGGTTTACCGTTACCAGCGTGCTTAGAAACCGGATCTTAACTTCTTCTGAGATAAGAACGAAGTTCCAAGAAGTTCGTAGCGTTACAACGAGCACAAATTCTGTGTGAAGAAGACTCAAATCAGCCGGATTAAGTTCACACTTGCCTGCCACATGCCTCCTTCTTGCCTCGAGTTAATTTTGTTCGCAATCACGAAAATTTGAATGACGAAGCTTGGAGTCAAGTTCACAGATGAGTCCAGATTTTGCCTGAAGTCAGATTATGGAAGGATAAAGTTGTGGCCACGCCTAGGAGATACGTGCGCTCAGTGAAACATCATTGGAAAAGAGGATTTTATTTTATTTTAGACCTCCTCCGCTTGTATAAACTAAAATAAGAAAATTACCAACTTCTGACTTCCCAAATGATAAGACGTTAGAATTTTTAAAAACTTTTAATTAATATTAAAGTTAAAATTTAAAAGACTCAATTATTATTAAAATTAATGTATTAGGGTATTAATAAAATTAGAAAATTAAGAATAATAATTCATTTTCCACAGACTCGTATTCAAGTTTTTAGATCATTAACAATTCTCATCTTCACGTAAGCACGTATGAGATTTTTTTTTTATAAGAGAGGGGCAAACGAGCATGCGGCTCCCCTGATGGTAAGTGACTACCGCCGCCCATGAACAACCGCAACACCAGGGGATCCAGGGGAATCGCAGATGCATTGCCGGGCTTTTAAAAAGGAGTAGGCTCTTGTCTTGAAGGTCCCTAAGTCGTATCGGTCCGGAAAAATCGCTGGTGGTAAACTATTCCACAAGGAAGTTGTGCGAGGAAGAAAACTTCTTCTAAATCGCACAGTGGTGGACCGCCAATCGTCCAGATGGTGTGGATGGTATCGGGAGTTCTGCCGCAATGTGCGTTCGTGAAATTTGGCGGCTGGGATTAATCCGAACTATTCCTCAGAGCACTCCCCGTGGTAAATGCGAAAGAAAATGCAAAGAGATGCAACATCTCTTCGCAGCGCCAATGAATCGAGCCGATCGGAAAGGACGCGGTCGTTGACGATTCGAGCCGCTCTGCGCTGGATGTGGTCAAGTGGAAGGAGCTGGCACTGGGGAGCCCCAGCCCAGAGATGGGAACAGTATTCCATGTGAGGCTGAACCTGCGCCTTGTAAAGTTGCAGGCGTTGTGTCGGCATGAAATACTGTCCCACTCTGCTGAGCACGCTACGCTTTCCGAGGACAATTTGGCCTTCTCTTCCAAGTGACTACGAAACTACACGTCACTCGATATGTCGACGCTGAGGATTCCGATACTGGCTGAGGCAACAAGGGGAGTACCTTGAAACTGATCAGATACGACAAAGAGGTTCTTTTTAGCGGTAAACGCACAAACTTGTGTCTTCTGAGGGTTAAACTGGACTAGATTTAGTTCAGCAAAGACTCGACTTCAGACACAAGTTTGTTGTGGTACTCGGCGACGTTTTCCCGAGAAATATTGGCACGGCCGAGGTATAGAGCATCACCAGTGCTGTCATCTGCCTAGCAATGAATGCTACCGGTTTGCAACATATCATTGATATGCAGAAGAAACAGCGTTGGTGATAGCACGCAGCCTTGTGGAACACCAGCGTTTATAGGCTTGTAGTCGGAGCATGTACCGTCTACAACGACCTTGATGCTCCGATCTGCAAGAAAGCTGGTGATCCAATTGCACAATTTCTCGGGAAGCCCATAGGAAGGGAGCTTCGAAAGCAGCGCTTTGTGCCAAACCCGATCGAAGGCCTTCGCAATGTCCAAACTAAGATAAGCTTGAAAGACAAATTAAGAAAATAAATCCTACCACCGCTAATTTGAGAGATCTTAAAAATGCATTACGGAAAGAATGGAACGCAATCTCTTAAGATCTTATTGATAGTGACTTGATTAAATAAGCTAGAGGAGGCAACACTAAGTACTAATATCCCACGTTATATGTAGCCTTTCCTAGGTATTTTTGAAAAAAATAATGTGAAGTACAAAAATATGTCTTTTTTAATTTATAAGGGCGACAAACGAGCACACAGTCCACCGGATGGTAAGTAGTTGCTGTTGCCCATATACATCTACATCCATCCTCAAATACGAATTACGAGTATTATGCAGATGTGTTGTGACGCGAGAGGA